GGTTGGTTAGTCGGCGGCGGTTTAAACCTCATTGTCTGCCAATTGGTTGACTGAATGTTCTCGAAGTGATCGCAATCTGTTTCATCGATTTGATCCAATTTCTCGCGATATGTAATCGTCGGGTCTCTTATGAATAGGTATGCGATGTGTTGGGCCAGAGGTTGTGGGACTCCAGCGTTAATCATCTCATCGTAATACTCCTTGTTATACACAATAGGATTATCGTTATATTTAGCATTAGATTCACACAAATATGTATTAATGGGAGCGTATCGTGATTTATGAATTCTGTATTTATTATGTTTAAGTGGTTTTTCTCCCGACTCTTCAAGTGTCCGGTCGTCCATTATATTTGATAGGACTTCCCACCGACAATCCCTGTCCGATAAATATCCCCGGAAAATAGGTGTAGCGGCACTCAATGCCATCATAATGGGTGCTAACGGTGCCAACTGGTCATTCAACACCATCGCTTCATTAACATTTGTAGCCTGAAGTGTTACCTAGACACATTTAAAATTAACATTACAAACTTATACAGTACTATAATACTATACAACTAAACATTAATATTAATGACTATTAAAAGAATAATTGAATTCCTACTTGATACAATTTTAATGTATTAAATATTTAAACAACGATTCTACGATAGCATACCTGTAGACAACACATACCCATCCCAAACACGCCGGCGTCCAAATAAATGTGATCCACTTTCGCCGCTCTACTCGACTCCTTATCATTGAATATCTCAATGAAAGGGTCGGGAGTTTTGGTATCTTTAAAAATGGGAACATTGGCCACTGTTTTACGACCCCTGCGCTCAACAATATTCTGACCCGTCTTTATATACCGGGGATGACCTGTATATGTGAGTCCGTCCGATGCGAATATACTGCCGGTTGTGCTGTTCAGGGGATCGGCTCTACAGAAGGGGACACTTATGTCTTCGTTGCCTAATCTGGTGATCAATTGAGTGATTGTTTTGATTAATACTATTCAATAGACGTTACTTATACCAGTAATTGTGAGCTGACCTGGGATAATTTGTCATACAAATAAGCGCCTCATCCTCATCGAGCAGTTCATACATCTCCCGGCGCCGTAGTTTCATATTTTCCTCTACTGTATTAAACAGATTATGCATAAAATAATCGCCATTTCCTTCGTTATTGTGTCCATATGGCTGTCCCGGTGTGGCCTCAATCTGATAGCCGCCATATTCCGGTCTCCACAGCACCTGTCGATTCACACCTTCCCTCTCTTCCCTGTCGTACATGATATCGAGAATGTCTTTCGCGCGAAGACTCAGACGAACCCTTTTGTTCTTGTGGTCAAACCTGACGATCACGTACTCGATCTCATCGCCCCATTTGAAGCACCGGTCGATTCGGTGTTTATTGTGGTTATAGATGTGAATGAATTGTTTGATTCCGTGTC